AATAATAATAATAATTTTCATTTTTCTTATTCAAGCAGTTGTCCCCAGTAGGAAATCATGACTACATATGACCTACTCATAGTAGCTTGCTCCTGCAGTGTAGTCAGACAAAACACTGCACTTTATGATAAAAACTTACACTCACCTTTGGCCATTAATAACTTCTAGAACTTCCTAAGCGTGCCTCTCAGTATGAGAGTAAACACCTGCCATTGCAGTAAAGGGGACACCAGAGCTGCCCCCCACTCTCCCAGGCCTGATTCTCTTCCCAGCCTCCTGTCTCACCCTCCCGTCCACTCTGAGCTCAGACTTGCCCGTGGCCCTGGCATGCATGTAGCATGAGTGGCTGCCTCCGTCTCCCTCCAGGCTGCCCTCGCTGTCCTGGGACTTTGTTCACTGCCCCCGCTTCCATCTGTCACAGGCTCGGGAGACTCAGTGAGCTCCTGGGCTCTCTACCTTCCTGCTTTGGAGACTCCCGGGGGTGAGCCATCCAGGGCCTGCTCCCGTGACGTGTCCAAGATCAGCCGTCGTCTTGTGGAGCCTTCTGAGGCCATAGCAGATACCCACGGGACCCAGAGCGTTGGTCTTGGTGCTGAGGCCCAGGAGGCTGGAAGGGACCAGCCCTCGGTTGGACGCGGCTGCCTGCGGTGCTCTAGCCCCTTCCCTTTTTCCCGATGACTTAGCTTTTGTTAACTTCGGGCTTTTATTTCTCCTCACTTTTTTGTTCCTGCCTAGCGTGCTGTGCTTCAGGCGCTTAGTGTAAGCGTCATCACCGGAGGGGCCAGGGTTACACAGCTGGGTGGTGCAGCGCCTGCCTGGCGGGCACAAGGTACTTTGATTCCTGATACCAAGATAGAAAGAAGTCATCATATAAAAAGTGCCCATATGAGCAGGCCAGATACCTCAGCAGACTAAAGTGCCTGCTTAGGCAGGCGCAGGCCCGGGGGGTCAGTCCCAGGCACCGCATGCCTTATCTGCCCTGCCTCCGCCCCCCAGGGCGTGCTGAGACAGGGACAGACTGACTGTGGTGGTAGGTGCCTGTAATCCCAGCTCTTGGGAGGCTGCAAACAGGATTACTACGAGTCTGAACTGTGTAGTGAGACCCTGTAGACCCTATACTAAATACATTTTTTTAAAAAGTGCCTATAATTGCTAGCTCTTGCTGTTTAATAATACAATCTTTGGGGTTTTTTTCTTCTTTAGGGACATGAATTTTATAATCCTCAGAAGAAAAATTACATTTTCTTGCGTAATGCAGCTGAAGAGCTAAAGCCCAGGAATAAGAAGTAGTGGCCTGAGACCTGGGGGGTATCTGGAATTGCGACTCCACGATTCCTCATCTCTACAGATTTGGCCCAAGGCGTTGGTGGCTGTCAGCCACAGAGGGGAGCAAGTGGTGGTGTCACTGTTCAGCAGTCCGCTGGCTGTCCCTGGCCACTTGTCGTCTCCATTCCACTACCTGCTGTGGTTTTCCTGCAGCTCCAAGGGGACTGAAATGACCACCGACGGTAGATTCTGGTGGGCAGTTCAGGAACCAGGCAGGGCCTCCTTGTCAGCTTCCGTGGGAGGATTGGAACTGTGTGGGCCCTCTGCTGCGTTTTGTAATAAAGTATTTTGAAGACTGCCTGCGGCGCCCTTTGTTCTCCCCAGTGCCCTGCCCCGTGGTCCTGGAAATGGGCGCCTTGTGCCCTAGGCCTGAGGACTACTGAGCTGTGGTTATCGCTGCCCTGTAGATGTGGCATCTGGCTTGGCCCGCAAGCTGAAATGGTACTCTTGCTTCTTTTGTTCCAAGCTCAGCCTCCCTGGGCTTCCTGCTTCGCTCCTCACTGAAGTGGTGCTGTTCCTTTTGCTGAGCGACAGGCCTCCTGTGGGCTGCCTTGCAAGCCCCGAGGGGGTGATAGCGGTGGCCCTCGGGTGGGAAGCCAGGTCTCCAGCGCAGTTCCTGCTCTCCCAGACCTGGGTCCCCACAGGGGCCATCTTGAATGTTTCTTTTGCTTCATGTCAGTTAGGACTCCCAACTGGTAGGTATCCAAGATGAAACTCAACTTAGTGTTTGAAGGTTGGCTCTGTGGTTAGTCACCCTGTGCTCCCAGATGCTTCACACACCCTGTTTGTGGCGGGCTGTAAACTCTAAGCTTGGCGAATGTGAAAATCTATTCGTAATCTTGTACGCTGTGTTTGCCTTCTCCTAATAGGTGATGACAATAAAATCTGCTAGCCAACAATGCCTACATTCAGTGGTTTAAATTCTTTGGTCGATCCTAAGGGAATTCAGGCCTACTGACCTCTGGTTTTCAGCCTGGGCATTTAGTTTTCAGAGATCAAAGTCGGGGACACTAGAAGAATCTGGAAGTTGAAGTTTTCTAGCTCATTCACTTCCCCTTCCCTTTATGCATCAGCCTTGTGCTGTTAACCTGCACATGTGAAAGTTACAAGTAGGAAAGGTCCCGGCCGAGAGACGAGCTTGGTTATCTCTACAGCCAGCTTCCACTTGGGGTTTGCCAGTACTCGTCACCTTTAACTGAACCCAAGTTTCATTTTCTTTCTGCAAGCTGGCTGTTTGGAAAAGATGAAATAACAGGTCTGAGTCGTGGGGCTGTCCAAGTGTTGTTTTCCAGGATGAGGACCTATGTGCCACGTCGCCATGGGGATATTTCTGTTGGATGGAAAGTTTGTGCAGGTCCAGGGTTGGGCCTGGGCTGCCAGAGCCCCAGACTGAGCAAGCTCTTGGTCCAGCACGTGGTTTGTAGCTGAGCCACGGCGCCGCGCAGGCGTGGAAGTGCGCTGTGTGTCTGTGTGGTGAGCCAGGAACTACGCGTTTGTCACTTCTGGAAAATGCAGACCCGGGAGCCTCGCCGTCTGCAGCTCCTGGACTGTCATTGAGTGGTTGTAGGTGCTCAGCAGGCACTGGTTATGTGATAGCGCCTTCTAGTGCAAAAAGATGCCAGTGTGACCCGACTTGGCACCGGCAGGCTGTGTCTTGCCATTTTATTCCTCGTTAAAAATAGAGCTGCTTTCATTTAGAGTAGGATATAATACCCGTCATACAGGAAACAAATGGGGATCTTTCCCTTAATTTTTTGTAACATTTTACAGAATATTGGGAAGAAGTGTCAGTGAACACGTGTGCTACTTAGATTCCGCCTGGTGGTCTTAGGCAGTGCTTGGACTTAGTCTTGTGTGGTCTTCCCAGGCGTGGCTTCCAGTACCTCCTCGTACTTGTGGTGGGCACGGGGCCTAGTGGTAACACCACGGGGAAAGATGCTGCAAGACGTGCAGATAGGAGCACCACTCCATCCCCAACCCCAGGTGTTGACGCGCTCTAGGTAAGAAGGCCCCGTGTGCCTGGGAGGCAGCTCAGTGCGCGCCTGCCTGGCAAGTGCGAGGACCCGGCTTCGATCCCCTGTACCACGTGACGTGCGGGCCCTGCCAGCCGTGCTAGCCACCGAACCTGGGCGTGCGACATGCCTGTAATCCCAGCTCTGGCGTTGGGAGACAGCAGGATCACGACGAGTCCAAGCTGCGTAGGGAGACTCTACCAAATAAATAAAGAAAAAGGCCCCATGTTCAATCCTCAGTACCAAGAATATAGATACAGCAAAGTAATAAAAGTGAAACATGGAATAATGCAACAGAAGTGAAAATGTGCGGTTTCTTCACGGGACAAGCATACCTTGCTGGAAAGTTCCGTTGGTGACGTGTGTTAACTATCTGACGAGGCCCACAGCCCACTTTGAGGTTGATGTAGGAGATATTTTCTTACTTAATTAATTTGAGTCTTCATTGTAGGAGGAGGTCCATCAAAAGCAACCTAGTGCTCACTGTCAAGCATAAGCCACGCTGTCCAAACCAGAATCCTCCGGGTGAAGTCGGGACCCACTGGTAGGTTGGGAGATGAATGTAGTAATTGCACCTGGCACTTGAAGAACTCGAGCCATCTCGGGGTATGGTGGCGCACATGTGTAATCCCAGCACTTGGAAGGCGGAGGCAGGAGGACTGCCATTGAGTTTGAGCCCAGCCTGGACTAGACAAGTGAGTTGAAGGTCAGCCTGCAGCTGCAGGTAAGTCTCACTGCATAGTGAGACCCTGTCTCAACCTGCACCCCAAATGGAGCCATGAAAAGAGTACACAGTGGATTTAAGTGCATCGTTCAAATGTGGTGTGTTGGGCCGGTGAGACAGCCCAGCGGGCTAAAGCACCTGCTGAGGCAGGCTTAGGCAAGCGCAGGGACCACAGTGTGATCCCTGGCACCGCGTGCCACACCAGCCCCACCCCCAGGGCAGGCTTAACTGGCCATATGCACACACATAAAAAAGTGGTGTGTGTTGTAGGAGGCCAAGGCAGGAGGCTTGGGAGTTTGAAGCCACCTGGAATAATTTAACAAGACCCTGATGTAAAATAAGTGTTGGCTGTCCTCCTTAGTTTGCTGTGGCTATGAAACTGGTATTTGGAAAATAGAATTTGAAAGACAGCTGTGTGTGTGTGTGTGTGTGTGTGTGTGTGTGTGTGTGACCAGCTCAGCCCACCAGGGGGCGCGGCTGGCTGGCGTGTGGTGCTGGGGGATCGAACCGCGGTCCCTGTGCTTTTCCAAACTTGTTCTAAGTAGGTGCTTTAGACCACTGAGCCATCTCTCCAGTCCCTAGAATATTCTTTAAATTAATACACTTTTTAAAAAGATGGAGGCCTCCTTAGAAAATGCTGCTGAGAGGTCTGATTCCTAGTTTTCTATTTCAAACTCGATGTCCTTGCTAGGTGCGTGAGGGGAACCCAAAGCCCAGTGCATGGGAGAAGGGTGTGGCTGTGAGCCCCCGCGCTCCATGTTACCCCTGCCCTGGGCTGGGAAGGAGAGAGAGGGAACAGTAGATCTCTATTCCAAAAGGTAACGGGCCACGCGGGGCCGGGATAAGACCGGTTTGAGTAACTTTGAAGGCACCATGGTTCTTTTTGGGATGGAAGGGGGACAAAGTCACAGCAGGCTTGAAGACTTCACACAGAAAATGAATGTGATTATTTGTTTTCATACTGATCACATGGTGGATAATAAAATGAACATTTCTCCTGGTGCTTCAGTTCATTGTGTTGCCATAATGACGCATGAGCCCGGATGCTACATAAAGGCAAGAGTCAGGTGCGGTAGTGAACTCCTGCGGTCCCCGCTCTGGGAGGCTGAGGCCGGAGGATCGTCGATTTGAGCCCACCGCGAGCAACTCAGTGACTTAGTGAGATCCTGTCTCAGAACTTAAAAGGCCTGGGAATGTAGCTCAGGGCAAAGGCCCCAGGTTTAATGCTGGGTACCAAAACTTTTATTTGGCCCAAGAGGTTGGTGGCTGAAAGTCCAACCCAGCATGGCAAGGACCCCCTTGCTGTGTCCCAGGCAGCGTGGTGGTGGCACACCAGGATGGGAATTCCCCAGCCAGAAAGCAGCCCGGCACAGAACCATGCTGCCCCAGCCTTGGCTGGTCTCAGCCTGGAAGGTGCCCCACTCCCAGCGCTGCTTCTGGGGGCCAGAGCACCACTCCCAGCCCCAGGAAATCTGCCTGGCATCTGCATTGTCCAGCCTGTGTCCTTAGGGTGCTGCTGGGCTGGGCACTCCCGCGTTGGGGGCAGCACGGTTCATTACACCAAATATTGCAGAACACCCTGGCCTAGTACACATTCTTTTAAAGACAATCTGATTTTAAGAAATTTTGCATATTTTACTTCTGGAATTCTTTAGAAGGAATTTCATTCACACTCGGTAATGTTTTCTTCATCAAAGGAAGCACTTTCCACTGTCACAGGTGACCGCATCCTCCACTGACCAGCTGGATTCCGTCTGTCCTTTCCACAGGGGATGGAAGCTCAGCCTCCGAGGTGAGCTGCTTTGCTGCAACAAATGAAAAGAATTTATTTTTATTCTGTCTCTCTCTCTGTCATTCACTTATTCTCTCTCTCTCTCTCTCTCTCTCTCTCTCTCTCTCTCTCTCTCTCTTGATTTATTTATTTGGTACAGGGTCTCCCTAGGCAGTTTGGACTCATAGTGATTCTCCTGTCTCAGCCTCCCCAGCTCTGGGATTACAGGCATGCGCCGCCACGCCTAGTTTCAGTGGCCAGCACTGCATGTGGTACCGGGGATCAAACCCCAGGCCTTGCACTTGCCAGGCAGGCACTTAGACCACTAAGCTATCTCCCCGGCCCTCTCTTTCATTCTCTTGTGGTAGTGAAAACTGAACCAAAGCCTTGGCACCCAGTGACATCCCCATCCCCTCCTTAAATAATGGCTTCTGCTGAGACAGGGTCTTGCTATATAGTTCAAGATGGCCTTACACTCACTCATATAGCCCAGACTGGCCTTGAACTCAAGGAGATCCTCCTGCCTCAGCCTCCCATGTGCTGAGATTACCAAGAAGTGACATACACTCTGAGAGGCTGAGGCAGGAGAACCGAAAGTGTGAGCCCAGCCTGCACAATTTAGCAACTCAGCCTGGCACTGCCACCCCTGGGTGATCTGATCTGCACTGTAGTGTCCCAGGTTTCTTTTATTTTCCTGGAAAACAAACTTCGTATTGAAACTGTCCTACCAATTTGATTTGAAACTGTCTCATTGCTATTTGTTTCTCAATAAGATTATGGAAAAAAACAAA